TGGGTTATTGGTAGTAGTTCTCCAAACAAGAATTGTGACCCTCAGCTAAAGTTACGTTACTTGGGGGCATACGGCATGAATAACCTTAGAACTATGTTCAGCCATGTAGTCAATCTGTTTCAAAGACAGACCATTTCGATTGCATTTACGCACACAACGTCACATGCCGCCGCGAAGCCATTGGAAATCTGTCCTAACATAAAGCCATAGAGAGCGAGCACAGAAAATTCAGACTGCACCCCCACCAATCTGTTTGTCGCCCATGGTGGACGTTACCACAGCTACTCAAAGGGTTCTCATGGGGTTTACGCACAGGTGAACACTGAAAGACGCATCGTGATATTGAGCGAATGAACGACTGTGAATAAAAGTCGCACGAAACGGTTAGAGGATGAGGTCTCGAGTACAACAAATCATTGCAAACTCAGAGTTTCCCAAAGTCCAAAATTCAAGCAGTAAACAGTGACTTACTTGCATTCGGACTCCGTGTGTTTGGAAATATCTGTACACTTGTAGAATTTACCCTTGAACAGTTGGACACCGATGACGCCGAACATGAATTGTAAGAGAAAGGTCACCAGGACAATATTACCGATGCTTTTGATGGCTATCACCATGCACTGAACCACGTGCTAGAAACAAACACAGAGATAACACAACGAATCAGATGGTCTCGGATGACAATAGGCAGTTTGATTTTACCACTAGGTTAGGTCAATCTTACCTTCAAGCCTTTAGCTCTGTTGATGGCACGCAGCGGTCGAAGCACTCTTAGCACACGAAGAATCTTCACAGCTGAGATGGTCTGGTTCCTGAGCACAAACAAGAAACATAGCAGGGGTACGGAACAAAATAAGAAATTTGTGAAGTTTAACTATCCGCGGAAACCCTGGGGACTTCATAGAGCACTATTTGTTCGCATAATGACCAAATTGGGATGAATATTTGCGTTCTAGCACAACAGAAAGTAAACGAGTATTACTGCAAACAACAGGAGGAACGGATACATATGTACTGATCAGAATTGTGCTGATTGAAAGTTCAACAAACTTAGATCGTATGTAAATTAAAATAATCATGGAGAATGAAATGACCTTCATAATTAAAATTTGAGGAAAATTAGTTTGGTACTGCTAACAATTTCGTTGTGAACCCCATCGACTAACGATTTGTATCACTATGAACCGGTTCGAACTTGTCCGTTGTTTGTCACTCGTATGCATTCCGACCTCAGGGTTTCCAGTCCGCTTGTAAAACTGATTTTTAGTTTATTTACTTATTTGTTTACCTAACCAGCAGTTCACAGAAATAGTTCGACACCTTGTTTGCCGCAACCCCACGTGTTGAAACATCCGAAGTTCCGATCTCACAGCTTACTCAAAAGGAGAAATAAAACCATTTCGAACCAAATGTGGTGTATTTTGTCTTCTATCAGGAGCCCCTGTTAGGTCGACAGTATAATATTCAAATGTTGCTGTCGCGCAACCTAGAAGTCTTCACCTATACCAGTTGGGAGTACCGGGTGCCAGAATGACAGGCCATGGCTTGGGCTAAATGATCTATCGCAGTCCAAGCGCAGTTACGTTCAATAGACGTAGGCGCAATTAACTTCCATGCACGATTGGAACCATAAATAGGCAGCAGATAATTGACAGTTAATACTCAACGGAGACTGGACTGGACGTATTATCAATCGTAGAAATTTACTTCAAATGAACAGAATGGAGTATCAGGGTCTGGCAACGACGTAACTTCTTTCCGATATATTGCATCAGGCGTTTACATATATAAGGTGATCATAGTACAGAAGTCTGACTGGCAGATTAGAGCTATCAATGGAGCACGTAGATAAAGACAGGCTTGAACGAAACTTCAGATCGCAAAAGTTGGTGCACGTGGTGCCAAGTTCCAAATTAGAAAACGTGCGCAGTGCCACATGGGTAAGACAAAGGAGGGGGTAAAGGGCATGGTTCGGAAGTTCGTGACCTTAAATAGGATTTCCGAAGGGTGGTAGGGGTGTATGAACGTCAACTAGCACAGTAACAGTATGAGTTGAAACCCCAGTTGCGGCCATCTTTGATCGGAGCGAAGCGTTTCCGCTCTCAAGCAGTTAATGACAAATAGACGCGTTAATTTAATGGCCATTAGAAAAGGCCATTCATCGGTTTGTCTAACAGAAATAACCACTTGTTTATTCCACCAGGGGGACCAAAAGTAACTCCTACTAGTACCCCATCTGTAGAATGTGTTGTACTATGCAAGCCTGACAAACGACGACTCCGTTTGTCTGCAATAAACTTACTGTAACACGAATGAGATCAAGGCAACGCAGACGACTATCAGATCCAGTAAATTGAATGCACTCCGACAAAATGAACCTTCGTGANAAATCCGTAAGAAATCATCTACAATGAATACGAAAAGATAACGACAATCGGAAAGGTACAATACAGTAAACATTGAGACAAATAACTCACTGGAAGCACTTGTATTTACCTGTCTACGACACTTGCCCCAAACTGATAGAACAAAATCAAATAGTCACGAACCTAAGGGGACCGAACGATACAATATGATCCATCAACATGTACACTTGCATAGCGTAGACCTTGCATCCAATGAAATCACAACGTACGCCAAAAACGAATTCATTTTTTGATGTAACACAAAACAATATCTTTTAGTACTTCGTATCAGACATGTACACATGTATCGTTGAACAAATATTTAACCGCCCACTACCACCAAAGAATACACCAATCCTGGGGCTCCACACCTCCAGTTGCGAATATATCTATCTGGACAAACCAAATTTCACTTGTACATGATACGGTCTGGTACTGCATCAGCAGTTGTGGATCAAATAGAGGTCATACTAGGCCAATGAGAAACCAGAACTACCCGCTTAATACACGTACACCTTTCGATTTTAAGTTAGTCACCCAATGAACTATTAACGGTCATTGCCCAATCAGGTCACAGTTCGAAACATTCGTTTATCAGTCCGAATTTCTCGGATGGTGCACCGCTGACTCTTTGTCAACGCTTAAGCAGCATGGGATCCAAAACCTCCTACTGTGTGGGTCCGTCAATCACATGATCGATTGAGTTAATTCATCAATCGATTAGATGGTTCAGCTGCAGCAAGGGACGTGATGGTTGTCCCAGTGACCTTGGTCGATTGTGCACAGCAAGAGTGTCGTTATCAGGCAGATGGAGTGACAAGAGCATCACACACATTAAGAGCCGGAAATCAGTTGAGGAATCCCAAGTTGCGCAAATCGGATCGCAGGGGGTCAGAGGGAAATTGATTGTTTAAGGTCGCGACTCAGAGGGCCAAGACGGTGTGAGACGAAAGAGCAATCGCACTGCAGCTAACAGGCAGCTCCTACACCGACATCGAAATATCCTTTGGTGTAGCCTTACACCTGTCTTACAAGGGACCAAATTTCTTATCCGATTAGAAGCCGCGAATTCATTGCTCTCTGTTCAATGCTTTCAGTACATAAACGGTGGAAACCCGGTGTTCCGCATAGCAATGGTCTGATAAATAACGTTTTGCTCCACATTCCTCCCTAACCGAAACGAAGTGGATAACGAACACTGGCTTCTCCCCAGAGGTCAGTGGAGGTCAACTGAGGTGCATGGGTATAGTTCACAAACGCTAATGCAGTTCTGTTGGCGAAAATCAGGTCGTATGGTTGCACCTAGTCGAACATTTCGGTCTAATTTGTTAAATTTAGGTGTGATTTTCTTCTACTGTTCTGTTAGTCCTTCTAGCAGCTTTTTAGTTTGGCAGCGGTCAGCCGGTTAAGGTCAGTAAATTATCGGCCCGTGTGTTCGACTCTGCCTAACTGCCCCATCGTTTTGTTTCAAGACTATCCGCTCCCGTCCCCGTTTCATTCAATGATAGAGAGTGAAATATTATCACAACATGAATTATTTGGTATTCACTAACACGGAGAAGTGGAGAATTGGTCAAGTGAGTCCAATCGAATTCCGTTATGGAGGGGTGTCGGTGAACGGTAAACAGACAAGAATGATTTAGCGTGCTCTCATTCAGTTGTAAACGCACATTTATATGATCATGTTATACAAAGAAGCATAAGAGTTGAAATGAGTCATTTGAACAAGGTGGTGGACAAGTGAGTTGCGTGATTTGTGTTAGGGTTAGGGGTTGAGCTCAAGTCAGGTGCCAAAATTGTATATGGAGATGAACGATGTGGTGGTGAATGTGGTGGAGGGAGGGGGAATGAAGGTCATGACACACCATGGTGGAATGATTCGCGCGACACACAAGGCTCGCGAAAACACCGGGTTTTCTTGCT